AGTGGCAGTTAAGGTTACAGAGTGTGGTATTGGGGAAATGTAAAGGTGTGTGCTTGTGGGTGGAGGAGTAGAGAATATGTCTTGTTAGGTGGCTTCTCTCTCCATCGTCTTGCTTTTTTGGGTTTGTCTCAGACGTGTGTGCATGTAACCACCCTAACTGCTTCACAGAAAAGTTTGTGTATTGATTTTCCTTTTTTTTTCTTTTCTTTTTTTTTTAAATACTTGATTGGATGTCAGTTGTACAAGATAGAGGGCACAGACCTGCAGGGGATGGAAGTACAGCGGCTGATGTAAAATATTTTATTTGTCAGCAGCTGTGCACAAACCCTTCTCTGTTGGATAAAATCTAACAAGAGCATAGCTCCTAACTGAGACGGTTGTACGTGTCTGGTCCATCCCCAATATATCAATCAATCAAGCTTGCACGTGCCTAGCACTTTTCCAAATAATCAGGTTTGTTGGCAACAGCTAAAAATGACCCTAAATCTAACATCGCTCACACACACACACACACCGCGGCACCAGCCATCTACTAATTTTTGTGCCAATGGACCATTTTTTCCAAGAGATATCAGTCAACAATGAAAAATAAGACTGCCCAGTAGAAAAATTCAGCTAGAGCCCAAGTTTATACACCTATTAAAATGCATACAGAAAAAAAAAACCAGAAAATTCAAGGGCATAAAAACTAACACTGTGTGAAATGTCACACGAGTTAGCCACTTGCTTTTAGGGGGAAAAAATGAACATATGCCCTGTTTTAAGAGCATCTTAAAGTGCAATTATGAGTATTGAGCAGCTACCATTTTCATTTAAAATACCCTCTAGCTGTTATGGTTGTGAGTAAAACCTTCAAAATATGAACAATGTACCCACTTCAGAGACTTCTGCTGAGTTTACACAAAGCCTCAAACAATAGGTGCTAATTCAAATGACAATGATTATTTATATGTCTGCTTTGTTATCTGTGTCACTGCACAAAGCATGTAGGAAAGGCAAGAAAATATATAATGAAGACCTACAGCAAATGTTTTCCAAAGTGGATGTGAAGAGCCACACAAGATGTAAACTGAGGTGTGTAAACCTTTAACACCACATGGCAGGGTACAGTTGGTTTTGTTTTCCTGAAGAGAAGGGAAGTTTGAGAAACACTGCTTTAATTGATTATTCGCTTGCTTTTATCAGTTTGTGAGCGTTTTTAACCACGGTATTTTGGGTTGGTTCTGTTTTGTTTTTATGGAAATAAATAACTCGTTAGGTCTGCTTACTGAGCTGTATGATAATGTATTAGCATATAAGCAATTTGACATTAACTGAATTTACTGTCAAACAGATTTTTTTGTTCAGTTTTATTTCTTAGAGCTAATTATTAAATATTCAGATTATGGTATCATCCAAGAGCTCCAGTTACAATCAGGTGCTCATTCTGCTAGGCAACCTACAAAAATAAGGTCCAGACTTTGAAAAGTTTTCAAATTAAGAAAGAGACAGATTAAATTGTGTTATCACTTTCTTCCAGTCATGAAACTAGTGGGCAGAAGTACCTCACCCTGAGCACATGACTCCAGTGACCCAGGAATTGCACTTATTTGCTCATTGACTGCTAGGAGGAGTTCCAAGTGGCAATTTTTACCCATAATGGATCTGGGTCATCCCTATCTCAGACACTATTTCTCTCCTACGCTGTACTGCCACAACTGAGATAAATAAAGGTAAGCAGCCCCTTGAAACCAACAGAGCTTATTCCCCAAGAGCTCCCTTACATGATCTAAAATAGCACAAACCAATTTTCATTCTGGGCATGCTGTAAAACCCATTTGCAAGATAGAAAAAATGAATATAGTCATGGCAAGATAATTTTCTTTGAGCTTGGTTTCAGTTAAATGTTAAAAACTTGGGCTAAAACTGTCATCAAAGAAAACCCTCTCCTTAACACACTCTGATCCTATGTTAGATATCGCCACTTTCTTGATGCAGGGTGTATTCAACTGATTTGGCCAATTTATAATTTGGATAAGTAGACCAGAATCTGCAAGCAGGGCCGGCTCCAGGCACCAGCTTCTCAAGCAGGTGCTTGGGGCGGCCGCTCCGGAGAGGGGCGGCACGTCCAGATATTCGTCGGCAATTCGGCGGACGGTCCCTCACTCCGCCTGGGAGTGAAGGATCTCCCGCCGAATTGTCGCCGCAGATCTCGATCGCGGCTTTTTTGTTTGTTTGTTTATTTTGTTTTGGCTGCTTGGGGTGGCCAAAACCCTGGAGCCGGCCCTGTCTGCAAGACCTGTCATGGCAGGGAAAAAGCCAAAGTTAAAGAAAGAATGGTTCAGTATAACCACAAGGAATTTAGCAGAAGAAATTTTCCACCCAGACAACATAACAGAAAAATTTAATGAAAACAAGAGTTTAGAGCATTTAATGAAAACAAGAGCATTAGAATTTTACAATGTATCGCAAAATAGCTATCAATTTGGTATTGCTTTCAGAGAAGGAAAGACTTCATCAAGACCCAGTAGATGTATCAATGGAACAGAACAGCACTTCAACTAGTGCAGCATGATGATCCTGGGGGTCATCAGGAGACATCTGGTGGGTTGCCTGGCATCAGCTGAGGGGGAAAAAGGGAACAAAATCCTGGACACATTAAGACTCACTGGAAACTAGGGCAGGAAAAGGAGCAACTTGCTCCTCTCCTCCTGTTCTTATGTTACCCTTGCTATCACCTCCCCCAAATCTCAGCAATTCTTTGGCCCTCCTGTCGTCTTGCTACTAAAATGCACAGCTTCCTTAGGCTGCTATGTCAGTTCTATAGCCTCTTGAAACAGCACATCACTAAGTTAATTGGCACATATGAGATCCAGCACCAATCAATCCTCCGTTTCACACCAGCACTTCCCACTCTCCATTACATCAACAGCTCTCAACACCAAGCCAAGAATCACTATCCCTGGTACCGTCTATTCCTCCAACAGCAGCCCCTCTGGCAACCAAATACCATGCAGGGTTCTTGCTGTGACCTAAATCCCCTAATTCTTTGCAGCCATAGAGGACTGGTGTCTCACAGGATTTGTGTTTTTTTAAACCATTTTACGAGTCACCGACCAAACAAGGCTGTGAACAGTAAGGTATGGAGAACAATAACCTTGGAGAAAAGCAAGCGACTGCTGTACTTTCATTTCAAGTGAGTGAAAGTGTGGATGAAGGGTAAGGGTGTTACTCTGAGAGGGGGATTTGCCCCACAGAATAAAAGATAGGCAGGCCAGCAATCATTAGTTGAGTAAGCATTGTATTTCCACCATTAACGAACACATTTTCTTTTAGTATAGAGCACTGTTTCTCAATTTTTTTTGATACCAAGGACGAGCTTGCTGTCTTCCTAAACTGTGTCAGAGATATCAGTTACCAGCGCTGGTACATGGACCCGTCGTTGAGAAACACTGGTATAAAGTACAGACTGAACTTTCCAGCGTTGTTTTGTTGGTGGTCCATGCTCTTTCTGCAGACTCTGCAGCACAGTTGAAACTGCAAGTGAGCAGGCAGTAATCAGGCGAGAGTAAAAGGAGAAAGGGGAGAAGGAATAGGCGTAAGCCAATTTTTTGGCAACACTTTAACCCTTTCCAACAGAAGCACGAAAACCCCCTTTAAAACTATTCAGATTAAAAAAACCTATCAGGACATTCTATTTAAAGTGTGAATATTATATTTGAAAAGTTTTCAAAAATTTGATTTGACAGTGTCTATAATGAAAATATCAAATTTACCATCTTGGTTGGTTTATACAAATCATCACTTCTTAAATTATTGCAGGCATACCCCACTCAGATAATTTATTATTGCTATGTCAGTGAAGAACATGCACGAGAGGCCTCCAGTGTTTTGGAGTGTTTTAGGAATTCTATAATCTGACAAACATAAAATAAGTTAAGCAGCCCCAGTTTTTGCTAATAGCTGATTCTTTCAAGTTCAGATGATTCAATATTTAATTTTAGTTCCAAATGATTTTTGTTTTACACCTTTAGCCAACAAATCTAGCAAGTATTTCATCTTGTTTTCATTTTTAATATCTACCAACACAATTTATATTCAGACTACCTAATCGTATCTGGTTTTGCAATAATGGAGAATCCAAACAATCTCAACCAGTGCTATTAGTGAAAAAAACTGACTATCCTTGTTAATGACAGTTGTAACTCATGGGCCTGAAGACAACTTTCACCTGACACTTTAAGTAATTTAATATGCTGTCAATTATATTGTTCAACTTCCCTCATTATGTGTTTGCACAGGGTTTCCAAAGTCCAGAACTACACCAAAGCTTTGTAGATCACACTCCAACAGCTTCATGCTGAATACCTCATTTTGCTGCAGTTTTAACACACGTCTCGGGTAATGGCAATGTCACAGCCATAGTCACACAAATAAAATAATAAAATACTTATCAGTTAATTAGGCCCAGATTTTTAAAAAGGTATTTAGGTTGACTTTTGAAAATGAGACTTAGGCTATGTCCACACTTAAAATGCTACAATGACTGTAGCACTTCAGCATAGATACTCACTATAGTGATGGGAGGGGTTCTCCCATTGCTGTAATTAATCCACCTCCCAAGAGGCAATAGGTAGGTCAATGGAAGAATTCTGCCGTTGATCTACCCCTGTCTACACCAGGGGGCAGGACAGCCTAGCTATGTGGCTCAGGCTGTGGATTTTTCACACCCCTGAGAGATGCAGCTATGACAATGTATGTTTTCAGTGTAGACCAGCTCTTAGACTCCTTAGTTAGACGTTCCAATGCTGAGTGGAGCAATACCTAAATACCTTTAAAAATCTGGGTCTTAATTCCATTATATTACTACAACGTGAGATTATGCAGGTTGTTCACTAGATACATAACCAGGAATGTGTCAAATTGCTATGCAGCGGAATTTTTCTGTACCTTACATTATACATTTAAGCAAAGAATACAAAATGGTGCTCTTTATACAAAATATAAAGAAAATATATTACCTGTCAAAGGAACGGAATTGCACATGCTGCTCAGCAGCAGTATCACCAAGAGTTCCAAGGAAGGTTGGTGGCAGAAGGGTAGGATCCACTGTGGCACTATCTGCTGGGGTGCTAACTAAGCTTCTGAGAATGTCCTTTACGTTGACATTTTTTGCAGATGGTACAGAAGATACAGTCTTCTCAGTCAACTCATTTCCTGCCTCACTCCTGTTTTCCTGAGGTTTACTGACTTCTAAAGAAAGTGTGCATAATACTTCACTGATAGCATCTGGACCTGAAATGGCACTCTGAGGTCCTGCTTCAGCAACAGCATCTGAATTGTTTGCTTGACCTGAAGTTGATTCCTCTCCAATGCCTGAGTCTCTTCTTCGTACAGGTGCTGAACTTTCAGAATCTTCTGTTGATACTGGAGTTGAAGCACCAGTAGTAGCAGATGGGTTTTCTACATCTTGTTACCCCCAAATAAAGAAGGGAAAATTATTTCAAGTTCATTGTTAACAGAACAACATCAACCATATTACTTCTAAGATCTATCAAGAGGTGATAAAGACACTGCTAAAATATTTTATATATACTTAAAGAAAGTTGTATTTATCTTCCTATAAAGCACTGTAAGTCATAAGAAGTGACATGTGATGTGTAATCATGTACCCACTTGTGTCACTAACCTGTAGATGTTGCCTCACTACTTCCATTCTCTGTTCCCTTGAATGACTGGCTATGATGAGGTCGCCTCCGTTCATTCTGGGGTTCCAGTATGTCTCTGTATTTTGACACCATAAGGACTGAGATAAAATATACTACAGCCAAGGCCAAGAACTGAGCCTGTTTACTATCCTCCTGTGAAGAACAACATTTATTTTTCCATTACAATTTAAACAGTGGGATATTCCCTTCATATGGTAGCCCATGGTCTACCAGAAATAGAAATGAGTAAATAAATGTTATACTGAAACCTCATGGACGAAATTGACTTACAAGAATTTATACCTACAAACCACTGTTGCAGAATCAATCCATTAATTAATCATGCTTAGACCAAGGATATAAACCATCTCAAAGAATCTATTGCTCTAGTTTAGGTTTCCTAAATTTTGACAAAGTTGCATCTTACTTGATATTTTATTATCTAAACTAACGTGTAGCACTGGAAGAACAATGTTTTCTAGTCACTATTCACGCAGTTTATAAAATTGGGGGACATACAATTGTGACCAAATCTCTGTTTTTTTCTATGAATGTTTAAGCCTCAGGTTGACTAGACCTAATATTGCATAAATGCTCAAGCTGATAATATCAAATTACTATACCAAATATATATTATACACACACACACACAGACACACACAGCACTTTCTCACATATTTACAAAGCTATTAGCATTTGCTATGTTGTAGCCATGTTGATCCCAGGATATGAGACATACAAGTTGAGTGAGGTAATCTTTTACTGGACCAGCTTGCTGGTGGAAGAGAGAAGCTTTCGAGCTACACAGAGCTCTTCTGCAATTCCAGACATTCCGCCAACAGAAGTTGGTCCAGGAAAAGATATTGTCTCAAAAATATTAATGCCACTTACTGTAAACTGCAGCCAAGTTGTGTTTATTTAGCAAAGGAGGAAAATGTTTATATATTATTTCCAAGAAACTCGCCAAATATCCCAGTTTAACTCCACAACTGGAGCTGCAGCAGAAGTGAATATGGCTTTCTAATTTAAAGCCCTATTGTCATTACAGAAATATAGATTCGATTGTGCCCAATTTTAAAAAGAAATGAGATTTGTTTTTATTTTAGTTTCCAGTAACACTTTACAAGAAATACATGTGTGTTAACATATTTGCCTGTGTGTGCACATGTACACATATGTACACACACACACACACACACACACTAATGTAAGTGAACACAACATTTATAAAGAAAGCAGAATTCCAGAGATTCATACTCCGGAAGATTTCAACAAGTTCATGCCCCACGGGGACAGAGATTGTACCGCATGTACATGTGCACATGCCCCTCCATCTGACCTCAAAACCTTGCTCTGTATTTCTCCCAGACAGGCCACAGAGTTTCAGGAGTCATTTATGAACCCTATTAGATAACAGAACAATAGACAGCTGCCTAGCATGTAGCAGCAGCGCAGCATTCAGAAAAATACCAAGAAAAACTTAGCAACAAAACAACTATAAGGTTTTTCACAACTCACTATATCTCTGAACACTACTGCTCGAAGCCGGTTAATATCCATATCCTGCAGAAGTCTGTCAAGGTCTCGTATTGGAGAAATTCCACCAGTCACAATGTCAACTGGACTCTATTCAAGAGAAACCAATTCTGTCACTTGTTTATAAAAGTACCACCCCAGGAAACACAAACTGTAAGATATGTAGTACTACAATACCAGTTTCATAGCTTTTATTTTAAAGAAACAGAACAAATATAAGAACAACATACAAACTAGGGAGATGTAACCTAGATGGAGCTACTATAAGGTAGATGCAAAACTGGTTGGAAAACCGTTATCAGTGGTTCACAGTCATGCTGGAAGGGCATAACAGGGATCAGTTCTGGGTCTGGGTCTATTTAATATCTTCATCAATGATTTAGATAAATGGCATAGAGAGTACACTTATAAAGTTTGCGGACGATACCAAGCTGGGAGAGGTTGCAAGTGCTTTGGAGGATAGGATTAAAATTCAAAATGATCTGGACAAACTGGAGAAATGGTCTGAACTAAATAGGATGAAATTCAATAAGAACAAATGCAAAGTACTCTATTTAGGAAGGAACAATCAGTTGCACACATACAAAATGGGAAATGACTGCCTAGGAAGGAGTACTGCGGAAAGGAATCTGGAGGTCATAGTGGATCACAAGCTAAATATGAGTCAACAGTGTAACACTGTTGGGAAAAAAAGCAAACATAATTCTGTTATGTATAAGCAGGAGTGTTGTAAGCAAGACACAAGAAGTAATTCTTCCTCTCTGCTCCGCACTGATTAGGCCTCAACTGGAGTAGTGTGTCCAGTTCTCGGCACCACATTTAGGAAAGATGTGGACAAATTGGAGAAAGTCCAGCGAAGAGCAACAAAAATTATTAAAGGTCTAGAAAACATGAACTATGAGGGAAGATTGAAAAAATTGGGTTTGTTTAGCCTGGAAAAGAGAAGA